AAGATAGGAAACAACAAAAACTTCTTTTTACAGTTCAATCAACAACCATTCATTACACTTTAACATGTAAGTTTATGCACCCTATACCTGTTTGTGAAATGACGAGCGAATAAATTACGAATAAAAAATTGTTTCAGAATTCAGTGGAACAACAGAAGATAAATGACCAAACGGAAAATTACTTCAGAATTCAGGACGTGAGTATCACGAGACAAAGCTATTTACTGGAAACGTTGCCCACAGGAACTAACATTTCACGTATAGCTTTGACACAGTATTTTAATCAGTTAAAACTATTAGATTAAAAACCTAAAAAAATGTAGTAAACCAAGAGAAAAGTTCAAAAAAAGAAAACCGAAAGTGATCTAGAAAAAAACGTGACATTCGTTTAGATCTCTGTCCCGTCTTCGAATACTAATTAAAAAAGAAAAAATGACAGCCACTGTTTTAACCCCTGGAAAACACTAATAGAGCTAAAAAACGCAATCGCCTTAATTTTTAAACCACCGTTTGATCCGTCCGCTGGCCTGCTCCATCCTGTCGTCGTCGCATATTTGTCTGCCCAATTCCTGCGATGTAAACGAACTGCCCGGCGATCGACTACTAGACAACTCCACAAAAATTGTTTGTTTTATTTCACTTTTTTTTTACTTTTTGCCAGCCAATAACGAAACTTTTACTTTTCCACATAAGCAGCTTTCTACTCTTCAAACGTACTTAAATAAATAAAAAACCTTGCATAACAATGTGGCAACATGATTTGTTACGTGTCATTTAATATTTCTTAAAAGCAACGTTACTCCTTATCAACCAACCTAGTAGTACATTTTCCATTACAGCAAACAATCCAAGTCATGAACAGTTTTATCAGCCAAGAAAAATGAAAACAATGGATGTAACCTGTGCGTCATTAGTCCGTCAACGAAGTTGCTCATGGACGCAATGAAACCAAACAATAGAAACCATATCATCTTGTGAACATCGTATCCTTACACTAATATGTAGTCCCGGGTGTTTCAATAAAATTAAAAAACCCGCTTTCCTCCTGTATGAACTACAACTAAGCTTTGGCCACAGAAGAATGTAAAGCTCATCATTAAGCGACCGGACGCAATAAAGTAAATTTAGCACTACATCGGTAAAAAATAGCAAGCTGCATTAAGCTGCAATTAAACAAATTTCAAACATCTACAGTAAGTAAATGATGTGCAAGCAACTAGTTCGTAACAAACTTTTGTGACACTTAATCTTCCAACTCCTTTCTTTCCCTAAAAACGGATTCTGGACGCCCCTATTATAAGTGACACCTACCTCCCGAAGCCCCCAAAGCGTACATTTGACTTCTACTTACTACTCGTCTTTCTGTTTGGTTTTTTCCTATCCACATAGAATCTTTCTCTTTTTTTTTAGAGTTTAGAGGAGAAAATTGAGTAATTCACCACAATAAAAATGAATGTTTTGTGTCTATGTACGCCCTACTTTTTCAAAAAAATAAAAATAAAAAGCTGGAAGTATATGCATGGCAACAGATAATCAACAACTCTTTTTTTTTTTTTTGAAAACCAGCTGCCGGCGGATGAAGGTACCTTGGAAGCAAAGATGTACGTTACTTGCTAGATTTTTAATCAAACTGAAAACATTTTGTTTAACAACTTAAAAAACGGACTCAGGTTCAAACAAAATCCTAATAACAGAATCTGAATCCAAAAAATCGCCTCTTAATCAACTACCCCTTACCTCCTTCGCCAGATCGATGACAATGATCTTCCTTTCCATTTATCGATAGTTTTAATCACGGGCGATAACCTGATTTTCACCTCTCAATGCAAATGCGCTTCTGTTTGCCAGCGCTGTCTGGGCGATCAAGTCATGTTACGGCAAAACGACGGCAGAAAGCCATGCTCAACCCCCTTTTTAAAGGAAGATCTAATATACTTGCAACAATTGTCCATAGTAGTTCTGAAGGAACTGGGTCGTTGTTTCGCTCCAGTTCTTGACAGTAACTCTACTTAGACCCTTAGGCTTCCACTACCATCCCTACCAATAAAATTTAAATTATTCGGCGTAGAAATTGCAAAAGTTCGCAAAAAATAAAAGTTAGATTTGTTTGTCCTTCACAGTTAGATGGCTATTTTAGAGGTCAATAATTTTTCAGACAAACATTTCAGATAGGATAAAAATGCTTCACTTATGACAACCGTCCCGTGAATCACTTTCAATGAATTACAATGTGGCAAAGGTGGCAACTGGTAAGAATTAACACAAGTCACCTGAAGTACTTACTATAATTCGAAAATAAGCCAAACTTAAGAATTAAAAATAAAACAAAAAAAGTAACTGATATTCACCAATGTATTAAAGCTCAAAATGGTTGTTGTTGGCGGTTTGTAGGCAGCTAGTCGTCCTGTCTCCTCAGATTGACTTTCGGGTAATTGACTGTTAACCATATTCTGCTTTGTTATCACTAAAATCTGTTTCTAATGCCGTAATCGTTAGCTTCACAAATACGCAACATTAACCTCGGCCATCAACCTTTTTTATACACCGCCATACTCTGGAAATCACACAGGTAACAGCATTTTTGTCTCACGCTTTAAACTTTCCATTGACCTTCATTTGCTCAAAGGCGCAACTTTTTGAACTTATTAGAGAAGTAGTAATTGAGGCTTCATTTCTATCGATTACACCCGTATGTTGTTGCGGTCAACAAGTAGGAATGCTCCTTAAGAAATCAGTACAAAGATTAGGCAGCAAAATCTCGACAGCTTATGGAAAAGGAAAACGGTGGTGCAACAACCAAATCAATGTTCCGATAATTTAACTGTTTAATTAAAATGAAAGCATTTTAAAGAGATGAAAAAAAAAATGTAAATTGGGCATAATTTTCTCACAATGAGACGAGTCGAATAGTAAATATAAGTAACACCAAATATATGTTGCTGTCAGAAAATGTTTCTGACAGCTGAGTGTCCCGTTCCTGACACATCATAAACAAAAACAAATAAAACTATACGAAAAATTTTAACTTTCATCTATCTTGACTAATAATATTTATACAAAGATAGTGGACAAAAGTAACAAAGCAAAAGCAAACTTATCAGATATGCTTTACTAAACAATTAAACAATCACAGAGCTAGAATTTTCGCTACATAAAAAAACAAATAAACAAAAAAACACGGTTCCATTGAAATTTGAAGCACTGGTATGCTCTTAAAACCAACTAAAAAAAAAGAA